ATCCTGGACGAAAACTTTCTCCAGAGTGCTCAGGACCTCAGACTGGGCCGAAGGTTTATCTTCCAACAAGACAATGACCCTAAGCACACAGCTAAAATAACGAAGGAGTGGCTTCACAACAACTCTGTGACTGTTCTTGAATGGCCCAGCCAGAGCCCTGACTTAAACCCAATTGAGCATCTCTGGATAGACCTAAAAATGGCTGTCCACCAACGTTTACTATCCAACCTGACAGAACTGGAGAGGCTCTGCAAGGAGGAATGGCAGAGGATCCTCAAATCCAGGTGTGAAAAACTTGTTGCCTCTTTCCCAAAAAGACTCATGGCTGTATTCGATCAAAAGGGTGCTTCTACTAAATACTGAGCAAAGGGTCTGAATACTTAGGACCATGTGATATTTCAGTTTTTCTTTTTTAATAAATCTGCAAAAATGTCAACAATTCTGTGTTTTTCTGTCAATATGGGGTGCTGTGTGTACATTAATAAAATTAACAAATTAACTTAAATGATTTTAGCAAATGGCTGCAATATAACAAAGAGTGAAAAATGTAAGGGGGTCTGAAATACTTTCCGATCCCTTCCCACCCACCCATACTCAATGGATTAGAGATATGATGTCCTGTCTCTGCCTTGAAAAAATTAGGTATTCACTAAAAGGGTCAGAAAAACAATTTTTTAAGATGTGGCACCCTTTTATTGACTATGTTGATAAGTCTGTTTACTTTTTTCTCCTTTTCTTTTTGTAATGTATTTTATTTATTATTATTCCCCCCTTTTTTTCTCTCTCATGTGAGTGTATGTGCATGTATCTCTTTTTATATATGGTCGGAGGTTGATTTATGTTGGCATGTGTATATACAGTGGTGTGAAAGTGTTGGCCCCCTTCCTGATTTTCTTATTTTTTTGCATGTTTGTCACACTTTAATGTTTCAGATCATCAAACACATTTAAATATTAGTAAAAGATAACACAAGTGAACACAACATGCAGTTTTTAAATGAAGGTTTTTATTATTAAGGGAAAACAAAATCCAAAACTACATGGCCCTGTGTGAAGAAGTGTTTGTCAGCCCTGTCGATCCTCAAAAGCTAGACATCATGCCGAGATCCAAAGAAATTCAGAAACAAATGAGAAAGTAATTGAGCCCATTTCATTCACTGACGTTCTTCGATCGGCAGCTTCAAACCCGGAAGTGCATATACTTACTTTGCCGGCAACCTGCCAAAATAAAAGCCTGCTGATTTTAAGTTCGAAAATTGACAGCTGTTAATGCACAATCACCATTTTAGATTGTCAAACTGTACTGTATAAGATTTCTATTCAAACTGAAAGCATAAATCTAGGCTATCCGCTGCCGTTTTTTAAAAGCACAATGCAAAACTGTGACATTTCATTCACTGACGTACTTCGATCGGCAGCTCCAAACCCGGAAGCGCATATACCAAGCCAAAATAAAATAAAAGCCTGCTGATTTTAAGTTCGAAAATGATGAAAATTAAAAGAAGTAGTAGTAAATATTAACTTTTTATTTTTAATTTTACTATAAAGTAATTGTATTTGTATTTAATACTTCCCTTTAATTTTTAAATATAACAGTATTATCACACTTTATTATTTAGTTTATTAAAAAAAATTTTTTAACTAAATAAATAAAGTGCAATATTATTATCAATCTTATTAATTTATTTTTTAACAGTTATATTTAATGGGTAACAGTATATGCAGTGTGAGGACCAAAACAAATCTCCAGGTTCTCATATGAGAACCAGGCTGAAAAACTTATGTGCACCCCTGATTATAATCATTGATGCTGTCTGACTACACTGGATACGACACGACAAACTCCTGACATTAACTGATACCTCTTTATGATGAACTGACACAAAGTTCAAATGATTTACAAAGGTCGCTTTGTTGTGTCCAGTGTAGATGGACTTCAGGGCCATTCAAATGTCATGCCTAAAAATGCAGGAAAAAGCCAGCCGCGCAACTTTCTCCTCCTTTCCAAAGCACTCGGGAGCTTGCGCTTTTGTGGCTTATGCGGTGTAGACACGGTGTCTGTGTCAATGAAAACGATCAGTATAAATTTAACGATCAGTATACTAAACATCGCACATCCTGCAATATGACTATCGTGGATGCGGCATATCGCGATATCGATGCAGAAACGATATATTGTGCAGCCCTAATTTATATATTCAAATTAAAATCTTACATTGAATGTATTCATTAATTAAACATTTATTACTTTTTTTAATAATATTTATATATTATAATTAGGGTTGCAGAGTGGCGAAAAGTTTCCGGAAACTTTTCAGAATTTTTCAGAAATTTACTGGAAATATTTCACCCCTTTGCAACCCTAATTATAATACAGTGTAGTATAGTATATTATGGCATGTATCAAATATTCTAAACATATCTTTGAAACCTTGGTCAGTGCAAAAGTGGATATTCACTGTTGAGCTCTTACCGAAATCTGATTTGAATGTGTTGCTCAAATGCAAACGCATAGATGAGTAAAGCCAGAGTGAAATAAGTTTTAGTCTTGCAATCGGCCTTCAGTGACCTTCTTCCCCCTGCTGTGTGGGATCCTGGGGAAATGTCATGTCAGACTTCCTCTCGCCTGCTCAGATTGATATAAACGTGGGCCGCCTCTGACCTCCAGTGCTCTGTGCTCTCCATGCAGTTAAAACCAGCACACTTAGTCCTTTGTTCAGTCATTTTGAGCATGCTAACTCGATTCGCTGGAAAAATGATTCATTTACAGGCTCCGTGCCACAAGTTCACAGACAGGTTTTTGTTTTAAGAAGTTGTTAGTTCTCTGGATACACTTTTAAAAGGTGGAGGTAAATGACACATACAAAATGTATGGTCTATAATGACCCAATGACCATTTGCGTTTTACTCCCTAAGTGCACCAGCTGGTTATTTTGCTTTTACTTGACGCATTAGAGACGGCTCTCATCTGTCAGGTATGCATACTGAAACCTAGCGATTTGGATGCTGGGAAGGGCATTTAGGTACTTGTCGAGTACAAACAGCATTTCCCTGAAGTAATGAGCTATATAAAGAAAGTTATAGTTTTTTCTGCTCTTCGTCCTGTAAAGGATACAATTGAGAACTGTTTTAATGTTCACTTGTATTTGAGTCTCATTGCAGTCAGATAATACTGCCGGACATATTGTGGTTAACTTTTTTTAAAGGGATAGATCACCCAGAAATAAATAAATAATTCTGTCATTTACTCACCCTCAAGTTGTCTTCTGTTGAACACAAAATCAGATATTTTGAATAATGTTGGGAACCAAATAGGTAGCCATTGACCTCCGTAGTATGGATAAAAATACTGTGGTATTATAGTATAATTATATTATAGCTATAAATTTTTTTTTATATATTTTCAGATTGTATTATTATTATTTTGCTTTTGCAATTTTTATTAAATATTTCTATTTAGCTTTAATTTATTTGATTTCAGATTTAGTAATTTTTAAGGGGAAAAATCATCCAAATCAGTTTTTCCTTTAATAAATATATTCAAATTTATTTCAGCTGTGCTTAAATTACCAAAAAAGATTTTTAATAGTTTTAGTTTCCATTAACAGCACTGGTCCCAAAAGCATTTTATTGCTATCTCGTTCATTTTCAGTGAATCACCTGTATTAAAAGAACATGACACTGGAATGTTGGATGAATATATTTTTCAGGATAATCTAGTTTATAAAATATGTGGCCTGGCCTCATTGGTGTTAATTTCCGACTGGAACAATGAGAGCATCAGTTAGTGGTGTTTCTCAAGGCATGCATCAAGTATTACTCACACTTTAGCATCAGAGGTTTGTTTAAATCCCTAACCTTAAGCATTAAGCTTTGTTGTGTAACTCGTCCCTCACCGTTTGCTAAGGCTACAGCTATGATTACTGCTTGAAATTATACTGCTTATTGTTGAGAGAGGTGTGCTGTTATTTACCAAGTTTTACTTGTCTGGCAAAAAAATCTGTTTTGAATTTGTTAATTTATGATTCCTTAATGTTTTTATATATTATATATGCACAATATATATAAATATAATCTAAATATAACCAAAATCGTGATGATTTTTATTTTATAGCCACACTGATACATAATTACAAAAAATTGGTCAAATTGTGCCGCCCAATAAACAAGCAAACATGGACTTTTAAAAATTTTTTTTATGAATTTTAGATCACAGTTTTTATCAGAAATACAGTTGCAATACATATTTTCCCCCAAATTGCACAGCTCTAATATATATTAATATATGTATATCATACGGATGAGCTCTGGCTCTGGTGTATTGTAATGGGGCTGGTGCTTTTTGCCTGTTCTTATTCTGCCTCTAGGCAAGCAAACATGGCCCGTCGTCCCGATTCTGCCACGTCCACTGCAGCACAGACCCACTTTCCCTGACACAGACCTCTCTGGAGACTCGCTGTTTATTTATTAATTTCTGCTTTTTCTCTCTTTTTTTGCCTGCAACAATAAAGCCACCTTTCTCTGTACCTTTCTTACAATTTGAAACTTCCAGTCTAGATAAAAACCATTCAGGAAAGGACTGAATTATAGTAATATAGCCTATTTCAGTCATAAAAAGTTGATCAGATTAAGCACTTGGGACGTTAAGACCAAGGGCATTAAATCAGACTTGAAGCAAATTGAAATAATTCTCATTGTTAAGGCCTAAATGGAGCTTATTTCCAGTCTGACACGTTTATGTCCTATATACGAAAGATAAGGATTCCAGTGCCAGAAAAGTGTGCTTTCCTATAACATCAAGCTCAGTGCTTTTTATTTTAGCCGATCATGCAATGAAGGGTTGTGTGCAGCTTTAGTAACATTACATTTATTGCTGTCAGAGTTTTGGTATCTCTGTTAGGAAGGCTTTGGAAGCAGTTCAGACTAATTACTTTGGATCAGAGGTTATCAGATTAATGGGCAATAAATGACATGATCTGTTGTGCTGTGGTTTTCTTACAGAGGGAGATGAAGGAGCAGCTGGCGACTCTACAGGACAGTGAGAAGGGTCATACGGAGGCTTTGCAGCTACTGCAGAGACAGCTCACCGAAACCAAGGTACAATCCTGTCAGTGCATGTTATTCTGAAGAGAAAAATCACCAATTTAACCTGGTGCTCCGTAAAACACACAATTTTCCCGTGGGCTTCCATTAAGGGCCCAACCCTAGCCATATAATGATTGAAGTGAGTGCTGTTTGCTGCTGTCATTTTAAATAATGCTCCACTCCCTTGTAATCAGAATCATATTATGATATGTAATAGGTATAGTAGTCTTTATTGCTGAATGTTTTATGCCAGAGGGTCAATTCTAGATTGATGAACCAACTGTGATTTATTGACCAGTCATCCACAAATTCAGCACCTTGATTCAAATTGCTATGACTTGATATTGAAACCACGTCTCCATTTCATCTCTGAAACCACATCTGGAATCAGGTCTTGTGGAAATCGAAATGCAGCTGACAAACAGTTTATTCTGCTCACTGTGGCCATTACAGATTCATGGCAGGTCTCTCACTTTGTCCCTTGCTCATTTTTCTCTCTCTCCTCTCTCTCTCTGTTGACACTGAATTTCCAACAAGCAAACTGGTTTATTGAGCAGGTCTTTAATCTTGACACCTTGTTTTAATCAGTGAAAAGAGACACCACAGTCAATACTGCAACATTGTCTGTCTCCCTGTTTTCTTCACCCCCTTTTATATTATAGCTATAAATTTTTTTTTATATATTTTCAGATTGTATTATTATTATTTTGCTTTTGCAATTTTTATTAAATATTTCTATTTAGCTTTAATTTATTTGATTTCAGATTTAGTAATTTTTAAGGGGAAAAATCATCCAAATCAGTTTTTCCTTTAATAAATATATTCAAATTTATTTCAGCTGTGCTTAAATTACCAAAAAAGATTTTTAATAGTTTTAGTTTCCATTAACAGCACTGGTCCCAAAAGCATTTTATTGCTATCTCGTTCATTTTCAGTGAATCACCTGTATTAAAAGAACATGACACTGGAATGTTGGATGAATATATTTTTCAGGATAATCTAGTTTATAAAATATGTGGCCTGGCCTCATTGGTGTTAATTTCCGACTGGAACAATGAGAGCATCAGTTAGTGGTGTTTCTCAAGGCATGCATCAAGTATTACTCACACTTTAGCATCAGAGGTTTGTTTAAATCCCTAACCTTAAGCATTAAGCTTTGTTGTGTAACTCGTCCCTCACCGTTTGCTAAGGCTACAGCTATGATTACTGCTTGAAATTATACTGCTTATTGTTGAGAGAGGTGTGCTGTTATTTACCAAGTTTTACTTGTCTGGCAAAAAAATCTGTTTTGAATTTGTTAATTTATGATTCCTTAATGTTTTTATATATTATATATGCACAATATATATAAATATAATCTAAATATAACCAAAATCGTGATGATTTTTATTTTATAGCCACACTGATACATAATTACAAAAAATTGGTCAAATTGTGCCGCCCAATAAACAAGCAAACATGGACTTTTAAAAATTTTTTTTATGAATTTTAGATCACAGTTTTTATCAGAAATACAGTTGCAATACATATTTTCCCCCAAATTGCACAGCTCTAATATATATTAATATATGTATATTATACGGATGAGCTCTTGCTCTGGTGTATTGTAATGGGGCTGGTGCTTTTTGCCTGTTCTTATTCTGCCTCTAGGCAAGCAAACATGGCCCGTCGTCCCGATTCTGCCACGTCCACTGCAGCACAGACCCACTTTCCCTGACACAGACCTCTCTGGAGACTCGCTGTTTATTTATTAATTTCTGCTTTTTCTCTCTTTTTTTGCCTGCAACAATAAAGCCACCTTTCTCTGTACCTTTCTTACAATTTGAAACTTCCAGTCTAGATAAAAACCATTCAGGAAAGGACTGAATTATAGTAATATAGCCTATTTCAGTCATAAAAAGTTGATCAGATTAAGCACTTGGCCACTTTCCCTGACACAGACCTCTCTGGAGACTCGCTGTTTATTTATTAATTTCTGCTTTTTCTCTCTTTTTTTGCCTGCAACAATAAAGCCACCTTTCTCTGTACCTTTCTTACAATTTGAAACTTCCAGTCTAGATAAAAACCATTCAGGAAAGGACTGAATTATAGTAATATAGCCTATTTCAGTCATAAAAAGTTGATCAGATTAAGCACTTGGGACGTTAAGACCAAGGGCATTAAATCAGACTTGAAGCAAATTGAAATAATTCTCATTGTTAAGGCCTAAATGGAGCTTATTTCCAGTCTGACACGTTTATGTCCTATATACGAAAGATAAGGATTCCAGTGCCAGAAAAGTGTGCTTTCCTATAACATCAAGCTCAGTGCTTTTTATTTTAGCCGATCATGCAATGAAGGGTTGTGTGCAGCTTTAGTAACATTACATTTATTGCTGTCAGAGTTTTGGTATCTCTGTTAGGAAGGCTTTGGAAGCAGTTCAGACTAATTACTTTGGATCAGAGGTTATCAGATTAATGGGCAATAAATGACATGATCTGTTGTGCTGTGGTTTTCTTACAGAGGGAGATGAAGGAGCAGCTGGCGACTCTACAGGACAGTGAGAAGGGTCATACGGAGGCTTTGCAGCTACTGCAGAGACAGCTCACCGAAACCAAGGTACAATCCTGTCAGTGCATGTTATTCTGAAGAGAAAAATCACCAATTTAACCTGGTGCTCCGTAAAACACACAATTTTCCCGTGGGCTTCCATTAAGGGCCCAACCCTAGCCATATAATGATTGAAGTGAGTGCTGTTTGCTGCTGTCATTTTAAATAATGCTCCACTCCCTTGTAATCAGAATCATATTATGATATGTAATAGGTATAGTAGTCTTTATTG